TCACAGGGATAAAACCCCAAAATCTCTGAAATTTTGAGGATAAATCCCAAAATCTCTGGAATTAAGGGGATAAAATCCCCCAAATTTCTGGAATTATGGGGATAAAATTGCCAAGATCTCTGGAATTACGAGGGTAAAATCCCAAATCTCTGGAATTATGGGGATAAAACCCCAAAACTCTGGAATTATGGGGATAAAACCCCAAAATCTCTGAAATTTTGAGGATAAATCCCAAAATCTCTGGAATTAAGGGGATCAAATCCCCCAAATTTCTGGAATTACGGGATAAAACCCCAAAATCTCAGGAATCATGAGGATAAAATTCCCCAAACCACGGGGATAAAAGTCCCCAAAACTCTGGAATTATGGGAATAAAATTCCTGAAATCTCTGGAATTATGAGGGTAAAACCCCAAAACTCTGGAATTTCGGGGGGAAAAAAAATCTCTGTAATTATGGGATAAAATTCTCAAAATCTCTGGAAATATGGGAATAAACCCCCAAATCTCTGGAATTATGGGGACAAAATTCCCAAATCTCTGGAATTAAGAGGATAAAACCCCAAATCTCTGAAATTAGGAAGATAAAATTTCCCAAATCTCTGGAATTACAGGGATAAAACCCCAAAATCTCTGGAAATACGAGGATAAATTTCCCCAAATCACTGGAAAAAAAAAAATCCCCAAAACTCCGGAATTATGGGAATAAAATTCCTGAAATCTCTGGAATTATGAGAATAAAACCCCAAAATCTCTGGAATTGCAGGGAAAAAAACCCCAAATCCCTCGAATTATGGGATAAAATTCCTGAAGTGTCTGGAATTACGAAGATAAAACCCCAAAATCTCTGGAATTAAGAGGATAAAATTTCCCAAATCGCGAGGATAAAATTAGAGTCTGGAATCTCGGGAATTATGGGGACAAAGCCCCAAATCTCCGGAATTATGGGAATAAAATTCCCGAAATCTCTAGAATTCTGGGGATAAAACCCCAAATCTCTGGAATTATGGGAATAAAACCCCAAATCTTTGGAATTACAGGGATAAACCCCAAAATCTCAGAAATTAGGGAGAAAAAACTCCCGAAATCTCAGGAATTATGAGGATAAAACCCCAAATCTCTGGAATTATGGGATAAAATTCTCAAAAATCTCTGGAAATATGGGAAAAAAACCCCAAAACTCTGGAATTATGGGGATAAAACCCCAAATCTCTGGAATTACAGGGGTAAAACCCCAAAACTCTAAAATTACAGGGATAAAACCCAAAATCTCAGGAATTATGGGAATAAAATTCCCGAAATCTCTGGAATTATGGGGATAAAAGCCCAAATCTCTGGAATTACAGGGATAAACCCCAAAATCTCCGAAATTAGGGGGGAAAAAACTCCCCAAACCTCTGGAAATACGAGGATAAATTCCCCAAATTTCTGGAATTTCGGGATAAAATTCCCAAAATTCGGGATTGCCGTGAGAGCCGCTGGCCACCAGGTGGCGACCAAAGATCGGGAATGGCGACAAAATTCCAGGAGTTTCGAGGATTTGGGGACATTTTTCGTCCTGGGGCTTTTTGGTGCTTTTTTGGTGGCTTTTTTTGGCTTTTTGGTGGGTTTTTTTTTTATGACTTTTTTGGTGGCTTTTTGGAGGTTTTTTGGGGTTTTTTGGTGGCTTTTTGGGTGGCTTTTTTTTCTTTTTGGTGGCTTTTTTGGGCTGTTTTTTGGTAATTTTTGACAGCTTTTTGGTGGCTCTTTGTGGTGGCTTTTTGGTGGCTCTCTGGTGGCTTTTTGATCACCTTTTTGGTGGTTTTTGGTGGCTTTTTTGGTGGCTTTTTGGTTTTTTTTGATGGCTTTTTTTGGTTGGTTTTTGGTGTCTTTTTGATGGCTTTTTTAGTGGGCTTTTTGTGGCTTTTTTGGTGATTTTTTTGGTGACTTTTTTAGTGGCTTTTTTGTGGCTTTTTGCCACCTTTTTTGGTGGCTTTTTGGAGGTTTTTTGGTGGCTCTTTGGTGGCTTTTTGGTGGCTTTTTGGAGGTTTTTTGGTGGCTTTTTGGTGGCTTTTTGGTGTTTTTTTGGTGGCTTTTCGGTCACTTTTTTTGTGCCTTTTTTGGTGGCTTTTTGGTGTTTTTTTGGTAGCTTTTGGTGGCTTTTTTTGGTGGCTTTTTGGAGGTTTTTTGGTGCTTTTTGGTGGTTCTTTGGTGGCTTTTTGATTACTTTTTGGTGCCTTTTTGGAGGTTTTTTGGTGCTTTCTGGTGGCTTTTTTGGTGTCTTTTTGGTGGCTTTTCACTCACTTTTTTGGTGCCTTTTTTGGTGGCTTTTTGGTGGTTTTTTGGTAGCTTTTGGTGGGATTTTGTGGCTTTTTGGTGGCTTTTTGGTGACTTTTTGGTGGCTTTTTTAGTGGGTTTTTTGTGGTTTTTTTGGTGTTTTTTTGGTGGCTTTCTGGTGGCTTTTTAGTGGCTTTTTGGTGTCTTTTTGGTAGTTTTTTGGTGTCTTTTTGGTGGCTATTCGCTCGCTTTTTTGGTGCCTTTTTTGGTGCTTTTTGCTTATTTTTTGTGGCTTTTTGGCAGCTTTTTGGTGTCTTTTGGGGGGCTTTTTTTTCTTTTTTGGTGGCTTTTTTTGGGTCTTTTTTGGTATTTTTGACGGCTTTTTGGTAGCTTTTTTGGTGGCTCTTTGGTGGCTTTTCACTCACTTTTTTGGCGCCTTTTTGGTGGTTTTTTGGTGGTTTTTTTTGGTGTTTTTGTGGTGGCTTTCTTTGGTGGTTTTTTTGGTGGCTTTTTTGTGGCCTTTTGGTGGCTTTTTGTGTTTTTTTGGTGGCTTTTTGTGGTGGCTTTTTTGGCGTTTTTTTGGTGGCTTTTTGGTGGCTTTTTCGAGCGCCAGGCGGGGATAAAGGGACATAGGGAGGTTTGGTGGGATGGAAGGGTTATCCAGGGATTTTCAATCCCAAAAAAATGGGTTAAAACACCTAAAAAAACCCCAAAAGACCCAAAAAATGAGCGTATTTCAAGGAGGAAATGAAGCTGCTGTGGTGGAACCTTTGCATGTGGCCAAATCCTCTCTCTGTGGAGCTCCATGGGGGAAAAGGCTGAGCCCTCCCTCCACGGAGCTCCATGGAATCAAAGGCTGAAACCTTCTCCGTGAAGCTCCATGAAATCAAAGGCCAAATCCTCCCTCCCTGGAGCTCCATGGGGGCAAAGGCCAAATCCTCCCTCCATGGGAGCTCCATGAATATAAAGGCCAAATCTTCTTCCATGGAGCTCCACGGGGGCAGAGGTCAAATCCTCTGTCCATAGAAGCTCCATGGAAGTGAAGGCCAAATTCTCCTTCCCATGGAGCTCCGTGGGGCCAAAGGCCAAATCCTCCCTCTGTGGAGCTCCATGAAATCAAAGACCAAATCCTCCCTCCATGGAGCTCCATGGAATCAAAAACCCAACCCTCCCTCCATGGAAGCTCCCATGGAGGTGAAGGCCTAATCCTCCCTCCGTGGAGCTCCATGGAAGTGAAGGCCAAATCCTCCCTTCATGGAGCTCCGTGGGGCAAAGGCCAAATCCTCCCTCCATGGAGCTCCATGGAATCAAAGGCCAAGTCCTGTTCTCCATGGAAGTTCCATGGAATCAAAGGCCAAATCCTCCCTCCATGAAGCTCCATGGAGGTGAAAGTCAAATTCTCCCTCCATGGAGCTCCATGGAAGCTCCATTGAATCAAAGGCCCAACCCTCCCTCCATGCAGCTCCATGGAAGTGAAGGCCAAGTCTCCCTCCATGGAGCTCCATGCAATCAAAGGCCAAATTCTGTCCTCCACGGAGCTCCACGGAATCAAAGGCCAAGTCCTCCCTCCATGGGAGCTCCATGGATGTGAAGGCCAAATCTCCCTCCATGGAGCTCCATGCAATCAAAGGCCAAATCTCCCTCCATGGAGCTCCATGCAATAAAAGGCCCAACCCTCCCTCCGTGGAGCTCCATGACAGCAAAGCTCCTTGCACCTCCCCCTCCCACCAGCCCCCACCCCCAACTCCTGGGTGGCTCCACCCCAACTCATCCCCACCCCAATGGCTCCTCGGAGCTTCCTCCAGGCACACGGGGATGGAGTTGAGGGGACGGGAGGGACGAGGAGCGGCTCCTCAGAGCTGCCTCCAGGCGCACGGGGACGGAGTTGAAGGGACAGAAGGGACGAGGAGCGGCTCCTCTTTGCTTTTCTGACATCCCTCCATGTCCCCAGGCCGGCGCCATGTCCCACCCGCGGCTGCTGCTCCTCCTGCTCCTGCTGGGCACCGGCCGCGCCCTGAGCCTGTCCGGAGCCACCTCCATCTTCAGCTGCCTCCACGCCGCGCTGGCCGAAGGCGCGAAGCTCCGTCCCCAGGAGGAGAACGCCGTGCTGGACAAGCGCGGCTCTGAGCCCCCGTCCATGGAGGAGGCGTCCGAGGAGGACAGGGATGATGAGGAGGAGGAGGAGGAGGAGCTGGAGAAAAGGACATTCCCGCGGGAACCGGTGGAATCCCGGGCCAGGAGCCACCGGAGTGGGGCCAAGGGCGAGCGGCGCGCCAAGGTGACGCTGTCCCTGGATGTCCCCACCACCATCATGAACATCCTCTTCAACATCGCCAAGGCCAAGAACTTGCGGGCCAAGGCGGCCGCCAACGCCCACCTGATGGCCCAAATCGGCCGCAGGAAGTGAGCGGGCCGGCGCGGTGGCCGCGGGGATGGCGGTGTCCGAGTTTCTGGTCTCGGTTCTGTGTCCCCTGTCCCCATTCCCTCGTTCTCRGTGTCCCCCGTGATTTTTCYGGACTTTTCCGTGCCCGGCGGGGCRGAGGGGACGCGATGCCCAAAAGGGTTCCTGATTAAAGCTGAGATCGCTGGAGTGTCCCGTGCTGCAGTGGTGTCCTGTCGGTGCTGCTTGGGGTCCAAATGGATCCGTGGGATTCCAGAGCCATGGGGATCCCAAATACATGGGATTCCAGAGCCATGGGATTCCAGAGCCATGGGGATCCCAAATACATGGGGATCTCAAATCCACGGGGATCCCAAATCTATGGGATTCCAGAGCCATGGGGATCCCAAATCATTGGGGATTAGAAATCCATGGGAATCCCAAACCTATAGGGATCCCAAACCCATAGGGATCCCAAATCCATGGGGATCCAAATTCATGGGGATTCCAAACCATGGGGATCCCAAATCCATGGGATTCCAGATCCATGGGGATTCCAGATCCATGGGGATTCCAGATCCATGGGGATCCCAAATCATTGGGGATCTCAAATCCATGGGATTCCAGATCTATGGGGATCCCAAATCATTGGGGATCTCAAATCCATGGGATTCCAGATCTATGGGATTCCAAATACATGGGGATTCCAAATCCATGGGGATCCCAAATCCATGGGGATCCCAAATCATTGGGGATTCCAAACTCATTGGGGATCCCAAATNCCGTGCTGCAGTGGTGTCCTGTCGGTGCTGCTTGGGGTCCAAATGGATCCGTGGGATTCCAGAGCCATGGGGATCCCAAATACATGGGATTCCAGAGCCATGGGATTCCAGAGCCATGGGGATCCCAAATACATGGGGATCTCAAATCCACGGGGATCCCAAATCTATGGGATTCCAGAGCCATGGGGATCCCAAATCATTGGGGATTAGAAATCCATGGGAATCCCAAACCTATAGGGATCCCAAACCCATAGGGATCCCAAATCCATGGGGATCCAAATTCATGGGGATTCCAAACCATGGGGATCCCAAATCCATGGGATTCCAGATCCATGGGGATTCCAGATCCATGGGGATTCCAGATCCATGGGGATCCCAAATCATTGGGGATCTCAAATCCATGGGATTCCAGATCTATGGGGATCCCAAATCATTGGGGATCTCAAATCCATGGGATTCCAGATCTATGGGATTCCAAATACATGGGGATTCCAAATCCATGGGGATCCCAAATCCATGGGGATCCCAAATCATTGGGGATTCCAAACTCATTGGGGATCCCAAATCATTGGGGACTCCAAATCCATGGGATTCCAGATCTATGGGGATTCCAAATCCATGGGGATCCCAAACCCATAGGGATCCCAAATCCACGGGGATCCCAAACCCATGGGGATCCCAAATCCATGGGGATCCCAAATCCACGGGGATCCCAAACCCATGGGGATCCCAAATCCATGGGGATCCAAATCCACGGGGATCCCAAATCCATTGGGAACCCAAATCCTTGGAGATCCCAAATCCATTGAGATCCCAAACCCACGGGGATTCCAAATCATTGGGGATCCCAAACCCATTGGGATCCCAAATCATTGGGGATTCCAAATCCATGGGGATTCCAAACCCACAGGGATTCCAAACCCACAGGGACCCCAAACCCATTGGGATCCCAAATCCATAGGGATCCCAAATCCACTGCCCCTTCCCACTTTCCCTCCGCTCTGCCTCAGTTTCCCCGTGAGTCCAGTTTGGGTTCCCCATCCCCGATCCATCCCCGCTCACCCCGCTCTTTCCCGGCCTCGCTGAGCCCCATTCCCCGCATTCTGACTATGGAATGTTCATCCCTTCCGCCCCAAAAACCCCGGGATTTTCCCCAGAATCCCTCTCCTCCATCAGCACTGGGGCAGGAGCAGCTCTGGGCCACCATTGCAGAGGGACAGATCGCAGTCCCGGATCCTTTTGGGGTCACCGATGGCTTCCTGAGTCATGACCCCGCTCCTGCCCCTGATCCTTTTAGGGTCACCAATGGCTTCCCAAGAGGCAGCCCCGCTCCTGCCCCCAATACTTTTAAGGTCACCGATGGCATTCCAAGCCGTGGTCCCACGGGGCCGTGCTCCTGCCCCCAATCCTTTTAGGGTCACTGATGGTTTCCCGAGCTGTGATCCCATCTGGCTGTGCTCCTGCCCCCGAATCCTTTTAGGGTCACCAATGTCTCCCCAAGCCATGGCTGTGCTCCTGCCCCCGATCCTTTTAGGGTCACCAATGTCTCCCCAAACGTGGTTCCTCCTGGCCCCGCTCCTGTCCCGGTTTTGGGATGGCTCCGGGTGGGGACGATGTTCATTCCGGGTCACTTCATCCCCATTTTTTGGGGCTCCTGGCCCCAGGTGTTTATGGGAACGGGGGCACCAGGGAAAGGCAAAAGCCCTAAAGGCCTCGCCTGGAATCTTCCCTGGAAACATTTGGGGTCAGTGGTTTTGGGGTCAGCAGATTTGGGGTGGCTCAAAGGACCTGGACTTTTCTAGAGGGTCACCTCCTGCCGTCACCACCCCTGACCTTTTAGGRTCACCAGAGAGCTTTTGGGATYTTTCCACACCACARAYCCCTCCCWTTCCTTTTTCCCATTCCCAGTGGGATCTGGAATCTTCTCTGGGACGATCAGCGGTTTTGCGGTGAGCAGATTTGGGGACCTGGACTTTTCTAGAGGGTCACCTCCTGCTGTCCCCATCCCTGACCTTTTAGGGTCACCAGAGAGCTTTTGGGATTTTTCCACATCCTTTATCCAAATACAGGACACAGCCGCTTCCCCTTTCCCCATTCCCATCTGGACCCTCCCCATTTCGGGAATATTCCCCAAATATTTCCCCAAATCCCTGATTTTTGGGAATATTCCCCAAATATTTCCCCAAACTCCTGATTTTCCCCAAAAGTCGTGAGGAAGCCAAACCCTACTAAAAAATTCCTCCCCGTTACCCGAATCGATTCCCTGATCCCAAAATGGGAATTCCCTTCCCAGATCCGGCTCCAGACAGAAATTCCCAAAGGATTTAGGGCATTTCCCCCACAACAACCCAAACCCTCAGGGGTGAATCCAAGAAATTCCGAGCCAAAAAAACCCAATCTTTATTCCCATAGAAAAATCCGTTTGCGGGCGCGTGAAGAATTCCAAAGTGCTTTTAGGGTAAAAAGCCAGGTTTTTTGGCATTTTGGGAAAAACAGGCAGAACTGCTTGGGATCGCGGCAAGGAGGGGTCGAGGAGTGGGGTAAATATCACAAAAAATGGGTATTTGTGGGGTAAATATCACAAAAAAGGGTATTTGTGGGGTAAATATCACAGAAAAGGGTATTTGTGGGGTAAATATCACAGAAAACGGGTATTTGTGGGGTAAATATCACAGAAAAGGGTATTTGTCCTGGTGAGAATTGTGGTAATGATCCCAAAAAATGGGTATTTTTCCCTGTGAAGACTGGGGTAAACATCCCAAAAAATGGGTATTTATCCCTGTAAGGACTGGGGTAAAAATCCCAAAAAATGGATATTTATCCCTGTAAGAATTGGGTAAAGATCCCAAAAATTTGGTACTTTTCCCTGTAAGGTTTGGGATAACAATCCCAATAAATTAGATATTTATCCCTGTAAGAATTAGGGTAAAGATCCCAATAAATTAGATATTTTTCCCTGTAAGGACTGGGATAACCCCAAGATTATGCATATTTATCTATTTAGGGACAGGGGTAACAATTCCAAGAATATTGGACATTTATCTATTTAAGGATCGGGATAACTACCCCAAGGAAATGGATATTTATCCGTTTAAGCATTGGGATAATTATCCCAATAAAATGGATGTTTATCCCTGTAAAGACTGGGATAATAATCCCAAGAATAATGCATATTTATCATTTCAAGGACTGGGATAATTATTATAAAAAAAAAAAAAATTAAAAAAAAAATGTTATTTATCTATTTAAGGACTGGGATAACTACCCCAAGGAAATGGATATTTATCCGTTTAAGCACTGGGATAATTATCCCAATAAAATGGATATTGATCTGTTCAAGGACCTGGATAACCATCCCAATAAATTGGGTATTTTTCCCTGTAAGGACCGGGATAATTACCCCAAGAATTCTGCATATTTATTTTTTTACGGAATGGGATGACTATCCCAATAAATTGGATTTTTATCCATTTAAAGACTGGGAAAACCATCCCAAATAAATTGGATATTTATCCCTGTAAGGACGGGGATAATTACCTCACAAATTCCGGATATTTTTCCCTGAAAAGACTTGGAAAATGATCCCAAGAAAATGGATATTTTTCCCTGAAAGGACTGGGATAATGATCCCACGAATATTGCATATTTATATTTTTAAGGACTGGGGTAACAATTCCAATAAATTAGATAATTTTCTATTTAAGGACTGGGATAAATATCCCAAGGAAAATAGATATTTATCCCTGTTTGGGATAACAATCCCAAAAATATTGCATATTTATCCCTGTAAGGAGCAGGATAACAATCCCAAGAATATTGCATATTTTTTATTTCAAGGAGCGGGATAAAGATCCCAATAATATTGCATTTTTATCATTTCAAGGACTGGGATAACAATCCCAATAATATCGGATATTTATGATTTCAAGGAGCGGGATAATGATCCAAATAAATTGGATTTTTATCTCTTTAAGGACTGGGATAACAATCCCAATAATATYGCATATTGTCGATTTAAGGAGTGGGATAACGATCCCAATAATATTGAATATTTTTGATTTCAAGGACTGGGATAACGATCCCAAAAATATTGCATATTTATCCCTGTAAGGAGCGGGATAACAATCCCAATAATATTGCATATTTTTTTTTATTTCAAGGAGCGGGATAAAGATCCCAATAATATTGCATTTTTTTTTCATTTCAAGGACTGGGATAACAATCCCAAAGATTTTGCATATTTAT